ACTGCCTGCTTAAGTAGTCCAAAGAATGTTGCTAAGGGTTAGAACTCTCAAATAAAGGTGAAAGATTAAGTTAGGAAAGTGTGTGAATTTCTTTGCATTGATATTGTCTTAAGTAAAGTTTTCTAAAATTCTGAGCAGAATTAATTTTCTCCTTTGATTACATTTTTTCTTCCTTTACCATGGTGATCTACATAAGGTCTCTAAAATAAGACTGTTCTTTATGCTTATGTAAGTGGGGGGGGGGAGAAAGAAGATTTGCTGCCCATCCCCCTGCCCCAGCTCAGTTAATATAATCACAGATGAAGAGGTTTTAATATGGTAATAAAATGTTAACACCTAGTGATCCTTTTAAAAAGACTGAACACTTTTCTCTGGTGGAATTAAAGAGCATCTAGACATTTAAATGAACCTCAAAGTATAGCACCTCATCTGAAATACTCCCCAGTGCAGCTCACACAGATTTTTGGGGGGGAATCCCCATAAAGAGGCTATTTTCTATGGCTACATGGCACAGTGAAAAGAGCATTAGACCTGAAATCAAGAAGACCTGAGTTCAAATGCGACCTCACTAGCTGTGTGACCTGGGCAAGTCATTTAACCTCTGTTTGCCTCAGTTTTCTCAACTATAAAAAGGGAATCATAATAATATTTCCTTCACAGGGTTATCATTGTAAAGTGCTTAGCACAGTGCCTGGCACGTAGCAAGAGTTACATAATGCTAGCTATTATTCACAAGGTATTAGTGTGGTAACACCAGAAGTAACAACCAGTGCTCCCTTGTTTTCACTTGTATTTTGGTCAGTCAGTAATCAATTAATATTTATTAATGCCTACTATGTTCCAGGTACTATGCTAAGTCCTCTGGATATCAAAAGAGACAAAAGGTTGTCCTAGCCCTTAAAAAGCTCACAGTCCAATGGGGGAGAGGACACGCAAATAAATATGTACAAATAAGCAAAATATATAAGATAAATAGAAATTAAGAGAGGGAAGGCATTAAGAGGGGTTAGGAAAGACTTCCTATAGAAAATGGGATTTTAATTGTGGCTTGAAGGAAACCAGGGAAGGCAGTAGGCAGAGATGAGGAGGGAGAGCATTCCAGGTATGGAGGACAACCAGAGAAAATGCCCAGAGCTAAGAAAAGGTGTGTCTTCTTGGTAGAACAGGAAGGAGGTCAATGTTACTGGATCAAAGTAAAGTATAAGAACACTAGATAGGTGAGGGGAGGGGTAAATTACAAAGGGCTTTGAATGCCAAACAGAGTGTCTATATTTGATCCTGGAAGCAATAGAGAACCACTCCCTGGAATTTGTTCAGTAGTGGGGTAACATGATCAGACCTGCTCTTCAGAAAAATCATTTTGGTGGCTGAACTGGTGGGTCTGCCTGCTTAAAGTCTCTCCTCACTCCAGGCAGACCCTCAGCAGACTGTTACAATAGTCCAAATACTTTGGTATAGATTATTCTTAAAAAGTACTAACAATTTGTTGACCTCAATTAAGTTCATCCCTTTTTTTCCCCATACATAACAATAAATATCTATTTAACTACATGTGAAGGATTGTTGTGTTTTAATGAAAAACAATAATCTACATTAAACAATTTATTTTATTAGAAAAGGGATATCTCTAATAACAGAAGACATTTATGCACCTTGTTAAGGTTTGCAAATTGCTTTACTTATATTTCCCTTGATAATAAATATGAATTCATTTGAAAATGAATCTAATTCCTCCTTTCCATACACTTTTAAGAGCTGAGCATACAGGGCAAAAATTTGGATGCATTTTTAATTGCAACATAATTCAAACTAAGAGACAATTCAAGTTTAAGGAAGTTATATGTACAAACCCCAGGTCCTACAGAGAAATGCCACTGAGGGAAAATACTGGAAAGAAAGGCAGTGTGGTGTAATGGCTAGAAAACTAGTCTTGGGGTAGGAGATCCTAAGTTCAAATCCTGCCCCTGACACTCATTTGTGTGTTCCTGGGCAAATCACTTAACTGCAATCATACAGGTTGTTGTGAGGATCAAATGAAATAACATCTATAAAGTGCTTTTTATTAGGATCATATTGGCTAACCAGCTAGAGGTCCAGTGGTCAGAGTGCTAGGACTGGAGTCAAGAAAATCTGAGTTCAAATCCTGCCTCAGACATATATTAGCTGTGTAACCCTGGACAAGTCACTTAACTTGTTGGCCTCAGTTTCCTCAACTGTAAAATGGGGATAAAAAGAGCACCTGCTTCATCAGAGTTGTTGTAAGGATGAAATGAGATAACATTTGTAAAGTACTTGGCCCAAAGTAAACACTATACTAATGCTTATTCTCTTCCCTCCCCTAGGCAGATGGTTTCTAAGCTCCCTTCTACCTCTTAACCTGTGATCCTATGATTTAGAGTTCAAGTAATTACCCAGGAATCTGAAGAGCAACATGTAAATGAGAATGTCTGAATTCTTGTTTGATACCATCATCAGGTAGCTTCTGATAATGTCTAGATTACAGCAGCACAGTAGGACAAAGTCTCCACCACTCTAGTCAAAATGGTATCACTGAGTGGTGTAAATCTTGGCCCTCACACTTCTGCCTTCTGTGCTATCCTTTCTTTTATTTTTTTTAATAGTATTTTTTCAATTACATGCAAAGGCAACTTTTAACATTGATTTTTTAAAAAAAATTTTTGAATTCCAAATTCTCCCCTTTCTTTTCTTCCGTCCCGCCTCCCTGAGATGGGAAGCAATCTGATATAGATTATACATATGCAATCATGTAAACATATTTCCACATTAGTCATGTTGTGAAAGAAGACACAGAACAAAAGGGAAATGCCACAAAAACAAAAAAAAAGTGAAAACAGTATGCTTCGATCTGCATTCAAACTACATCAGTTCTTTCTTTGGAGGCAGCTAGCATTTTTTAACATACATTCTTTGGAATTGTCTTGGATCATTGTATTGCTGAGAATAGCTAAGTCATTCATAGTCAGTCATCAAACAATGTTGCTGTTACTGTGTACAATGTTCTCCTGAATCTGCTCATTTCACTCAGCAGGAGTTCATATAAATCTTTCCAATAACTCTCTAATTGTTGTCCCTGCCTCAAGTATCTCTATTCCTGTCCATCCTCTACACAGCTGCCAAGGTAATTTTCTTCAAGTGAGGGTCTGACCATGTCACTCTGCTACTCCAAAAGCTCTAATGGCTCCCCACTGACTCTAAGATTGTGTGTTATTTCATCTTTATCTCATCCTTTCAACATTTCTATTTTTGTGTGTATATATATATATATATGTAATTTTTAAATAAGTCAATACACAAATATTGATGGGGTACAAATTAAAATATTTTTATCTATAGATAAGGCACAAAAAAGCTTGTAGACCTCTGACCTAGAGCTAGGGTTTAAGAGATCTAAAAGACTTGGGGTGTTGGATTTGGAGTCAAAGGACCTGGGTTCAAATCCCATACCCTTAGTAGCTGTGTGATCCATAGGCAAGTTGTTTTGTTCTCATGGTCCTGTAAAATAAAGAGGCTGAACTAGCTGCTTAATTCATTGTAAGTTCCTTCACTTCTCTAGGCCTCAGTTTCCTCAGAGAGCTACACCAGTTGATTTCTAAGGTTCCTTTTAGTTCTAAATCTATGATCCAGATAATTTTTTGTAATCCCTCTTTGCCATGATTTTTCTAAAAATACAAAAAACAACAAAAAACCAAACACGTCACCTGGAGGGTGAAGTTAAGCTTCTAGTCGTAAAAGCAGACGTTTGCCCCCACCTCCCTCCTAGTTTTAAGCAACATTTGCTTACATCCCCCTTAAAGCAAGTTTGCATTTCTGTCAGTTCTTCTATCTTAGCCCCTCCTTCGGAACAAATAATGGGTGTCTAGTCCTCTTCAGTTGCTGAGTGGGAACCTTGTTCACAACGAGGGCAGGGGCGGGAAAAGAAAATTCATGTGGATTTGCCAAAGATTGTGCTTCGGCCTTCTGCGTGCATGTGTGTGTGTGTGTGTGTGTGTGTGTGTGTGTTTGGGGGAATATTGGGAGCGAGTGTAATACAATAAGGGTGCCGGACTTTACCACCCGCCTGTCGAACTGCAGTAGTTAGCCTCTGAGGCTGGAGGGAGGAGAGGAGGCCACCCACCCTGCAGTTCCCCCCAAATCCTCCGGGGGCTGCAGAGGGGCCTCTGCACCCTCACCCTCCAGCTTTCTAAGCGTCCTCAGATGACCCCAGGCCACTCAAGGCTGCGAGCCTGCTGGGGGTGGAGGAACGGTGGTTACTTCTGGCCTCTGCCCTGGGACGAAGAGGGAAGAAGGGAGGCAGGGGAGGCGGCTGTCCAGGATCTTGGACCACCCCCTGAAGGCCTCATGGACTTGTACCGCTTGCAGGTACAGGACAAACTCATGTCCCGAGCCCCTGAGCCCAGGACTGTGAGTAGGACAGCTGCCCTGTGCAGTCCAGGGCCGAGCTTTGGGGAGCCTCGGAACAGGCTTCCTACGGATAGGAACCGAGCAGGGGGACGGGGGGAGAGGGAGCTCACTCGCTTTACTTAGCACTCGTGCCCGCCCCCTCGGCCCTGGCTTGGAGGCAGCCCCGGGGTGCGGCCCCTTGCTGGAAGGAGAGGGGGCCTGGAGCGGGACTGTGGCTAAAGTGACACCCCACACCCACTTCTTCCCAGTCTCTCTTCCTCCCCCTCCCACGCGCTGCTGCGGTCCGGGTCTGCCTGCCTGCCTGTCTGTCCTTCTATCAGTAGGTCTGCCTGCCTGTCTGTCTGTCTGCCTGCCTGCCTACCTGCCGACCCGTCTGTCTTTCTGACTGCCTGTCTATCTGCCTGCCTGCCTGCCTGCCTGCCTGTCCTGTCAGTCCGTCGGTCAGCCTCGCTGTCTGCCTGCCGATCTGTCTGTCGGTCCACGGGTCTGTCCGCCGGGCGCTCCCTCTGCAGCAGCGCCTCGCGGTCTGTGCAGGCGGAGCCGGCGCTGGGAGGGACACGTCAGGGAGGAAACTGTGAAGCCGGCGGCCGCGGCCAGGAAAGAGGAAGACAAAGTTGTCTGGCTTCCACGCTGCGGGCTGCGCGGCCGGGGAGCGGACAGAGACGCGCAGCTGGAGCCTGGGTAGGTACTTGCACGGGGCTTCCTACCCGGCTTTCCCCGAGAGCCCTGGACCTCTCCCGCAGCACACGCCCGAGGTCCTGCTGCGGCAGACCTGGGCTGCCCAGAGCGCCGTGTAACCCCGCCCCACTCCGACCTCGGAGCAGGAAAGAGCCGAGCGTGGGGAAAGCTGAACGGGGCCTCTGATGGCTACTTCCATTCCTCTAACTCCCGGGACAGCTATGTACTCTCCTCCCCCTCCTCTTTTCGGGGGTCCACGGTTGCTCTACCTTCTTACCCCCCCCACCCCCGCTTCTCTCCATTTGGCCAGTACCTGAGGCCGTAAAAAGCAATAACTTTTCAAGAGCCTCTGGCAGGTTATTTCCCACACGGGGAACTTTTAGAGAAACCCACCTAAGTTGGTGGATTCCCGCCCAAGAAGGTTGCTTCAGATTCAGCCCCGTTTAGGGATTCCTAAAAGCCTTGATGGCTAGAGATTATTAATGTGGGTTGGAATTTTGGAAATGCGTAAATATTGAGAATGGAGAGTTGGGAAAGGATATGGGGGTAGATATGGAGGCAAGGAATCTCCTGAGAAAGGATTCAGCTGGACACCTGCAGGAGAACCGGGAATGAGGGAAAGAGTCTTCGAAGTAAGGAGATTGGAGTAGTTCTGTTTATACACAAAGAAATGTACAGTATTAACCAAGTTTGGGGGAGTTTAAACAGTGATAGCACAACTCTTCTTGAGTAACTTCGGATTGTATACTTGGTTTTATTTTTGGTTAGAGACCTGAGTGCTTTAGGAGAAAGCTGTGTTTCTGTCAATTTTGGCCATGGTGAATCCGAAGGAGAATGAACTAGAACAGAATATTGTCATCTGGATGATTCTTCTTGAAAGATCTTAGTGCTTTTCCTGTTTCTTTGGTTAGCTGTGCTAGACTAGAAATGTAATTTCATTCCTAAAGAGGAAACTGTAAAGTGCAACTGAAATTAAATTGCTACAATTATCATCAACAGTTTGTGATTGGAGGGTGACATTCATATATATGTATACAAACACATAATACACAAAATGTATGTATATTTTATAAAAATGTATGCCTATATATGCATGCATATAGGTGTGTAGATATATACATATGCATAGATATGTAAAGCAGATGTTAAATATATTCAACTGCTGTGTATTTAGTCCTTTCTATGTATTCAATCCTGATTTAAATTCACTTTGACACATCTGAACAATGTTTTTAAGCTCCATTAATAGAATAGATCACAAAGCAGTTCCATTCTAATGTCATCCTTCATTATCAGAAACTTCATCACCAGAAGAAGAAATCAATCAACAGTCATTTATTAATCACCTTCTATGTGCTGAGCACTATGCAAAGTACTGAGGATACCAATACGAGAGGGAGATGCTCCCTAAAGTCAAAGAGTTTACATTCTAAGATAATCTTGCGGGTATAGGAACAAGTATTAGGGTGTGAATACTTCAGGATGTGAATTTCTTCCCACATTGTTGACCTAAGCAGGATATTTCCATTCTTTTTCCTTTCTTTCCCAATCAATTAATCAACAAGCATTTATTAATCAGCCACTCTGTGCCAGATACTTTGCTAGGGATACAAATATAAAGAATGAGATAATCCCCATTGGCTAGGAATTTATATTCTAATGCAGAAGACAACATGTGTATAGATGTACATAGAATAAACACAAAATATTCAAACCCAGTGTAGTTTGGGAGGGAGAACACTGAGTACATTCAGCTGAGATCAGAAAAGACTTTTCACAGAATGGGTGCTTGAGAAAGAGAATTCTGGGAGGTAAAAGTGAAGAGGGAGAGTATTCCCAGTAGTGGGAAGTAGTTAAACAGGAGTTTTATATTTTGTCCTAGAGACAATAGGGAACCACTAAGAGACAATCAGATTGGAAAATCACTTTGGCGTCAGTGTAAAGGATGGATTGAAGTGGGGAGAGCCTTGAGACAGGAAGTCATGTGGCTGTTACAATAACCTACGAGAGAGGTGAGGAGGGCTTGAACTAAAGAAGTAGCTGTATGGGTAGAGAAAAGGGGTCAATTTGGTGTTGAGGAGATAGAAATGGCTAAAATTTGTCAATTGATTGGACTGTGGGGTGAGGAAAAGTGAGGAGTCAAGGATAATATCAAGGTTATAAGCCTGGGGGACTTTAAAAGTAGTGGTGCCTTTAGCAGAAATAGGAGAATTTTGGGGAAAAGATAACGGATTCAGTTTTGGACATGATGAGGTTGAGATGTCTCCTGGACATCCAGTTCAGAATGTTTAACAGGCAATTGATGATGATGCTGAATTGAAACTTAGGTGAGAAATCTAGACTGGAATATATATCTGTGAATCATTTCCATAAAAATTGTAATTAAACTTGAATAATTAAGTATTCTATCAATAAGTAAACTATATCTATTGATATATTAATCTATTGATAATTAAACTATATATCTCAATTATCAAACTATTGATAATTAAAGTATATATTGATAATTATATATAACTGTATGTTGATAATTAAACTATCAATCAGCTAGTATTTGTTAAGCATCTATTATGTGTCAGACATTGTGCTAGGTGTGGGGGATACAAGTACAAAGAATGAAATGATCCATCCTCATAATGAGCTTTATTCTAATACCAAGAGAAAAGAAGGCCTAGGAAGAAGCCCTAAACTCCTGCTTCTCTGATGATAGTCTCCTCACCAGGGAATTAACCCAGGCAGCACTCCCTTCCCCCTTTCCCAAATGATCAGGTGTAAGGAGCTACAGGAATGCAACCTTGGTGGGGACCCTGTACCACCTACCTGGCCTATACCTGAGCATTGTCTCCCTAAGTATTCCATCCATTGACCTAATGCTGAAAATAGTCACTCAGTAAGTATTTATTAAGCATCTACTACCGTGCCAGGCACTGTGCTACGTGTAGGGAAAACAGAGAAAGATAAAAGGCAGTCTCATGACCTCAACCACTACCTGGGCTAATTTTGCCAAAATATTCAATAGCATATTCATATTCAAAGCATTAGTTATTTAAGGAGTTACTGCATAGAGTTGAGGGAAGCACTGAAATAAAAATATGTAAAATAGCACATATTTGTATCCATGTAATCTGTAGGTAAGTCATTCCTACTGTTTCTGTGTTCAAGTTTTCCATATTAAAATTTTAATGCACATTTAGAAAATCCTTTTCAAGATTAAAGGATCTTCTTCCAATGTGCAGCTTAGGGCCTTAGCCTGATTTGTAGAGAAGTAAAGTATTAAGCTCTCTTATGTCACACTCTGCCATGGCTTACAAGCTGTAAATTTTGAGAAGAGATAGTCTGCTGTAACTGTCATCATTGGTTAGGGAATTAAGAGCCATCCCTCTTCTTTCCCTTCCTCCAAGCCAACCTTCCTTCTCCAAATTTGTTCCAAAAGCCAGCACAACAGAGGAAGACATTTCAATACAGGGCAAATACTAGTACTAAAAATACTATAAGCAGAATCACTGAAGAAGATTTAAACAAGCTTAATTGGAAGACCAGTGTTTTCAAACGATATTTGTTGCAACAAAATTTGGACTTTGGAGTTTTTTGTGATAGGATTTGACCCAAAAAGTACTGGTAAGAACTTTTTAAGGGATATTCCTACCCCTCAAACCCACCCCTTTCTCCTAGTCCTAAGAATGTTTTGGTTTGACACATCCCTTTGGTATGTATATTCATAGCTTGCCTGTCTCTCTGCCTTCTATGACTTTCTGATCAATTCAACTTTAACAGCTGCAGATCCACAATGGGTGTTTTGTGAGAGTGACTTCACCCAAGCACTTGTATTAACTGATCAAGTTCATACAAATATAATTGCCACAAGCACTTTTAATTTAAAAAAAAACAAGTGATTAGCATGTGCTTATAATGTGCCAGTCAGTCTCCCTAGTACAGGGGATAGTTTTACACAAAGAAAGAACCATAACCTGAATAATTTAAGTGTGACCCTTTGTATCCCCAAATGTATGATATTTGGACAGGTAACCTGTGATTAGACAGGAAAATTAACTGGTAGGATGGTTATTGTGTGGAAAGGGAGAGGAGGGAGAATCAGAGTTGGGAGGCATTTCCCATGAAATGTATTATATGGCATAAAAGTGTTAATGAAGCCTGAACATGAATCATCTCCTTGTCAAAGTTCTTCTTTGAGGGGGTAGAATAAAATGCTTTTGAAACTTGCTTTGTTTCGGGAAACATTTTACCTTTGTTCCATCCAATCTACATGGGTCTAAAAAAAATTCATGAATATTGCTGTTGAAACTGCTGATTCATGAAAAGTTATATAACATACTGTTTGTGCCAGAAATTATCCCCCTGCATACACACACACACACACCTGACTTTTCCCAACCAGACCATTACTTATTGTTGAGTACTATATTCTTATACTTTTGACTCTTTTTATTTCATTTATTTATTTATTTATTTTTAGTTTTCAACATTCACTTTTATAAGAATTTGAGTTCTAAATTTCCCTCCTCCCTTCACTCCCTCTCCCCAAGATGGCATGCAATCTGATATAGGGTATACATGTATGATCATATTAAACATATTTCCAAATTAGTCATATTATGAAAAAAAGAATCAGAACAAAAGGGAAAAACCATGAGAAAGAAAACACACACAAAAAAAAACCCAAAAGAGAAAATAGTATGTTTTGATCGGCATTCAGATTCCATAGTTCTTTCTCTGGATGTGGATAGCATTTTCCATCATGAGTCTTTTGGGATTGTCTTAGATCATTGCATTGCTCAAAAGAGCTAAGTTTTGACTCCTTTTAGGATAAAGGTAAATACCAAGGATAGGCAATGATGCATCTTTCATGATAAAAAATAAATAGCAAATACTTGTGTAACTTTATTAGGTTTCATTTTTGAGGAGGAAAATTTGGATGTCATATGTCAAAGCCTTTATCTGATGGGTTGAATGCAAAAATGCTTCCTTTCCAACCCACAGGTCTG